TAGGGTGCGGGGTTCTAGGGTTTAGGCTTTGCCTCATGAATTCTTGCATGGCTTGAGGCGCAGGTGCCATGCTGTTGACAGGATTTCAGCAAAAACACGTGGACACCCGGGTCATCCAATTGGGAATCGATTTTGAGGTTTTTAGCGGGGGGGGGGCCGGCACCGGGGTAACCGAGGCTGGGCTGGCGCTGGCTGAAATCCTTCGTGGGGCAGAAGGAAAACAGCTGGCTGGAATCCATGTGGAGCTGGCTGAATTTGGGCTCAGGGGTTAAGGATTTCAGCCAGGAGCAAGCAAGGGGGATCAAATTTGACCGATCATCAGATATTGCAGCAGGGTCTTTCGCTCTCTCTGTCTCTTTCTTTCGCCAGGGCTGTGGTGGGGAGTTGTCTCTGTCTCTTTCTCTCTGGTGCTTTCTCTCCCTCTAGCCAAGCTGCGAATCCGCAAATGCACGGTGCCGCTCTCGATCAGAGACGCCAGAGTCGCCTGAGGTGACCCGGATGATGGGTCCCTCCGGATCGGTCGCATTAGCTACGGCAGGATCTAGTGGAGTACATGGCGTCCTGTCAATCAAAGGCACTTTGGGGCTGATCCTCAGCGTGACTGTCACATCCAGCTGTGGCGCTGCGCCGTTCGCCTGGCACGGTATGCATGTCGAGGCTCTTGGGCGTGGGTAAACTTCATGATTGAGGCAACCCTTTGGTTCGGCGTGGGCTCCCCACCAGTCTGCGTTGTCATGAAGTTGGAACCTCAGAAATCTGGGAGAGCCTCGACAACTGCTTGCTCGCACATATGCATACTATGTGTAAGCAAATATTCATACACATACATATTATATATGTAGATACGTATGTACAAACTATACGAATTATTTATATATGTATATATATATACATACATACATACACATATACATACACATAATAAACATATGTGTATAAGTGCATATGCATGCCTGCATGCATGTATGTGCATACAGGCGAGGTCGTGCTAACCGGACGGAATGACCACGGCAAATGTGCCCATGCTACTAGGAGAGGAGATCAGTTAGAGTTGACCTCTTGGAACGTCTTGGAACGCAAGCAAAAAATGCAGCCGCTGGTCACCAGCAGAAGCCTTTTCAAGGCTCGGTCAGATTCCAGACACGCCCGGCCTGGGGAGTGATACTCGCAGTCCCGAAGGATGCCTTCATCTCGAAGCCTCGTGTGCTGAATTGAAAAAATAAGGTTGACTCTTGGGCGGAAGTGCTTTGAGACTGTGAGCTTTTTCTCACATACGCTGTGACGGCGCTGCAAGACACTGGCAACGGGCCGGGCCCGAGTCAGGATCCCATACTACCGATGACCCAGCAGTTCCAGTCGATGGCCCGGCACGATCACTTCGGCTCTATGGGCGCGTATCCCCTCTTACATCCATCCTACAGTAAGGTCCGTATACGTCGAGCTCCCACAACCACTCACCTCACTACAGGCATTCCACACGCCTGGAAAAAGGTCGTCGTTGCTGGCAGTGGGGTCCTGTGCAATCGCGAGCGACTCGCATGGCAAGCGGTACCCTCTGAACAGCATGTAAGCCTAAAATGGAACATACCCTGCCTATCTTGCTGATGCAAGTTGTTGCTTTGAAGTTGCGTGGGTTACGCACAGCATGAGCATCTTCGGCTCCAACCAAGCCCAAACCTCCACATGCAGTGATTCGCGCATGCAGCCTGAACGCTGCAATGCACAGGGACGTTAGCTGAATACATGGGTGTGCGCCGTGTGTCGCAACCATACCGGACCAGCTCTGGCTGCAGAACCCCATCCGTCCACACTCTGGGAACAAAAGAAGCCTTGATGGAGAAGGCTTCTTAAGGCCAAGTTTTGATTACATCTCACATGTCAGAGCGGAGGTCGCCTTGCATTGCGAGTCGCGGCATGCCCGCAGAAGCAGGTTGGAGCGGTGCGTCGTCGCCCAGAGGCTCCTTGATTGTACAGATATGGGGGCAAAGCGCAAGAAGAGAGCGGAGGAGCAAAGTCAAAGTCAAGGAACTGCTTCCTCATGGACTTTAGTTCTATTCGCTTCCTGCACATCCCCCATTTCGAGCAACAAGCATCTCAGACTCAGGCAGATTCCGCTTCGGGTGCTTCCACAGGTCGCGTTGAGAAACTCAGACAACTGGCTCGGGCCGGATACACCTCCCGGCCACGTAAAGCCAAGCTGCAGATCCTCGGGCGCTGTTGGCGTCCTGAGCCTGCTGTTTGAGGAAGCGTGGCACAACAGACTTGGCTTTCGCAGTAGGGGGCGAGGCAGGGCAGGGCTCTATGACATAAAGGGCCCTCCTGCTTCGCGATAGCACGTGCACAGCAGAGCTGCCGCAGAGCTGACAATCTGTAGCCAAGTGAGAACATAGATTCTCAGCACACAGTGCCATCCGAAGCCGAAGAGCTTGGCCCCAATGAAAAGGAAAGAAACCGCCCGTCTTGAAACGCCCGGCCTGACCGAGAACTTCACGGCTTGGCCTTATACGGACAGTGCAGAACAGATACCCTTGGCCCTTGGCGGCTTTGCGTGCTGTGAGCCTTTAGCCCGTGCTGCCCAAACCGGCGGAATCTGAAAAATTGGGATCAAACCTTTTTTAGCCCAGGCGCTTGGGAGGATCGGCGAAAGGATCTGAACGGCATAGCCTCGCTGCGGCTTCTGCCGAAATGCCAATCCGGCCCTTCTTCGCTTCGCAGCCTTAAGAGCCCTGGCTAGAGAAGTCCAACTCCGTTGAAGCCTGAGCCTGAATCGGGCCAAGCCCCAGACCACAAGATCCTAGATCCTCGAGGTGTCCTTGAATGCGGAGTCGGTGACTTCACGTTCAACCTCGTGCAATTATTGCCGCCAAATGACTGGGCCGGCTACCCTCCAGCTCGAGAACTGCCACTTGTCCAGAAATCAATGGGAATCCTCGCCACGAGTGATAGCAGATGCCGGACTTACAGGCTAGTTACAACTGGTACACCTCTCTTGCACTATGACCCTTTGGGCATGCTTACTGCAGCTACTTGAGCTCCACCTCTTGCTCACCATGAGTGACCAGGCTCAGTCATTTGTGATCGTGGTTGCTCCACGCCTTCTCCTGGGCTGAAGCTCTTCTCGAGGAAGGCGAAGTCGGCCGGGGCGGATAGGACGAGATATTGCCTCGACGATGCGTCACATTTTGTAACGTTACACCCGCTTGATTTACAGCCTTCACCTCAAGGTTTGAACGATGCCACACATACCAGGCAAGCTGTGAAGTAGCAGGTCTATCTCCATCAAGTCAGTGATAGCGATTCGTTTGGCGGCGACTGATTCACAGCCCACGAGCTGCTGGCAAAGCTGAGGCCGCCACCCAGCAGTCACCACACGAGGAAAAGCCACGAAAGACAGGCTCAGCTCCGTATTGACGATGTCCTGGGTTCTTGGAGATTTCTCCCGGACTTGCAGACTTGACCCTGCCTTCAATCCTCGCTAAGCGTCGAAGAAAGGATCAGTGAGGCTTGTGGCCGAAGGATCGATGCTCAAGCGATTGAGCGTCACCTGCAGCGCGGATGCTTGCACGTCCGACACATGCCATCATCAAGCCACCTGACATCACAATGCCTGACCATCCAGGCCCAAATCATGCGAGGACTAACTACGGGGCACTATGCACCTACAGCTTACTGTCAAAATCTGCGACCAAGCCAAACCGGAGCTCTCTCCTGCTGACGAGCAGCAGGCCCCGCGAAGTTGACCGACCTGAGCGGAGTGAGAGGCGCTCGTTCGTCGGACATTCCGCGTTGAATAATGTAGCCATAGATGGCCCGCAGGGGCTCACCACCTGTCGCACGCAACAAACCCACGCCTGGGCTACGCCCCCCAACATCAGAAACGAAGGCGAACGGGTCCCACACGATCAAACTTTCCAACAGTGAACATCCCAGAAACAGGACCCAGGAATTCATAGGAACTCCCTAGACCTTCCCTCCAACTCGAACACCGCACTTTCCTCCTCCCTCGATCGGCGCCTGTCCCGTGGATCAGCCAAGTCCATGGAGCCGTCCTCTGCCAGTACCTGCAAGAGGCTCAAGCTTCTGCCTGCACATTTAATAAATTTCTGGCACAGGCTTTGCTGTCTCTACTAGTAGCCTCGCTGATAAATTACCAGGGCACGTAGCTCGTCAGTGTCCACAATGCTGTCCCCGGCGTGGAAGGGTTTGCAACTGATCCGAGCGTCAAGCTGTAGCCACGTCCCTGCCTGGACCATGCTGGACGGTGCAGCACTGAGATTCCTACCGAAACTTCGTCGCAAGCGTCAGCTACTCCAGAGTACTTCCTGCCCTGTCCAGGGTTGTCACTGTACAGCTACGGAGCTACGGGTGCTGACTCGCTTCAGGCCGAGATGCTCCAGCGCCATGTGCAAGAGAAGCGATGCGTTTCTCCGAATCACTTGGCTCACCTGCAACCGGGCCCAGGGCCCGACAGTGGCAGAGACTCAGGAGATCTCAGGGGTTTTCCTGGCCTCCGTGCCCACGGCGGTCGCAAAGGCGGCAGCAAAGTCGAAGCGCAAGGGCTCGGCTTGGCTTGCGGCGTCCTGTGCATCACTGTCTGGCATGACAACACGAGGCTCTTGAGGCGCTAGAACTACTGAAGGCGTTGTCTCGCTCGTCCTGGACTTCCGTGGTGATGTGCAGCGCCTGTGCATCCTGACCTGGGATGTCGCTTTACGAAGGCGCTTGCGCATGCAAACGCTCAAGGGGACGACCCGACGACCCCGCCGCTTGATGTGGCCGTGACGCTCACTCGGAAGGTCAGCTGCAGTGATGCGAGGCTTTGGACAGCCACGAAGGCATCGGCACGGATAACCTGGCAACGAGGGAGTGCAAGTGAACGATTACAGAGTTTCCTGTGGTGTCTTTAGCAGATCTTCTCAACTCCAGGACTTTTCGTCACGGATCCTCAGGCCACATTGACATTGATCATATTCAATTGTCTCAACAACCCCTGTCGCTATTCAGAGACATTTTTGGCTGCGCATTGGCTGTTGGGATGAAGCCAAGCAAAGCCTGCTTGCTTTGCAGCACAGTCTGTGATTCTTGTTCACGTCATAGGCGCATGTTCGGACAGCCTCGTCCATCTCAAAATCCCTCTAGCCATGCCGAAAGCTTCGGAACTTCGGGGCTTGGCTTGCGTTGACTAATGGCAAGCATCTGGGATAACATGAAAGTTGTGCACCCCTGTTCATCCTGAACCTCCGCGTTGACTGAAAGCCGATACATCCTCAAGTAAAGTTCTGTACCCCGACTGCGCAACCGAGATCTCCAGCAGCCGTGGAGTCACCAGCTCCCCGGGCACCTGTCAGAGCTTCAGCTTCGATGCAGAAGACCCCCCCTAAGGGCAAGCGAAACCGAAACCCTGCGCGCACCGTCTTGGCAGAGACCACAGCGGTGCCCCGTCGTTGCTCGCCGTGGAACGTGGTGGCCTGACGACGAAACGGAGCATGCGAGATGCACACAAACCTCGACGACGCTAAGTCCTAATCAACAAATTTCGCAGCCGACCCTATGCCCCTTGTCGGATTTCGGGAGCGTTTGTCAACCATACCCCTAAACTCAGTGTTGGAATCCATCAAGCCTGAACACTGAGCGTCTTCCGTGGGTACAAAGATGTCACCTGGGACAGGGCTCCGTCCAGTGTGCTTTAAAGAGCAAGGCTGTGACAATGCTGGCGCTGATTCAATTCTATAGCTTCCAAGCTCATCCGAAGCGAAGACGATGCCTACATTTCTTGGAGTCCTCACGATATCGTGACGACCTGCGACACAAGACCGCGCACATACTGAGACAATAGAGAGAGAGAGAGAGAGGGAAGGAATAAAGAAACAGAGAAAGAAAGAAAGAAAGAAAGAAAGAGAGAAAGCAAGAAAACACAGACACTGATAAATCAGTGACAGACGAAAACATGTGACAGAAGCCTCATCAGCCCAAACTGCTACCGAAGACCCGGGCACAGTTGTATTAACACAGCTAGGTGAACCCTTGTCAGCCGAAGGCTCCAATTTTCAATGGAAAGCTCCTGTTCCGTCCGCATTATTGTGGGCACTCTCCAGCATTTGGATCAATGTCTGCTGATCTTGGCTCAGCAACCGCCCCTGAACTCTCGCTGATTGGACAAGTCTTGAAGCATCCCAGGGGCGCTGAAGTCCATCAGAGGCGTTAGGGCCTGGGCGCCAGGGACGTCGACAACGGCAAGGCCTGGACCGGAAAAGTGGTGCCGAGGGAAGTTCAGTCCCGAACTCGCGGCTCGCCTGTATTCCACTTTCTGGCCACAGCAGCTGGCGCCTCCCTTGACAATGTCAGCTGCCAGCTAGTCGAACAGCGATTTCTACTTCTTCGTTTGGAGCCCGACCCAGTACCCAAGCTTGACGTTGGACGGAGCTTTAATCGTTTGTAGACAAAGGTGTCCTTGCCGTCCAGCCGTTGTCTCGACTGTCACGCTGCACTGACCCGGGCAAAGGTGTTCTGTGGGCCCCGAAATGAAGCCCTGGAACTCCCGGAGCTTTCTTGCATGCCGCCCAAATCCTAGCCACAAAACCTGAATCCTAAACTCTCACCATGGAGCCCACCTGTGGTGGCGAACTCGAAGTGCACGACCCGGACGTTGCAAGTAGGTTTCGGCAGCGCAGCTGCTGACCTGAAGAGTTGATTCCGAAACCCTTAACCCTACAAGCTCTAAACTCTCAAATTCGGTGCTAGCTCCTCGGGCCAGTCCATTGCTGACTACTATGAATCCCTGCCGGCCTGCTACCACTACGACTACCACTTCGAGACCCAATCTAGCCATGGTTCCTCTATATTCTCCTGTGAGCTTGAACATGATGCGCAGATATGCGCAGTCGATCTATCTATCTATCTGTCTATCTAGATGTATCTAGGTATGTATGTATCTATCTGTCTACCTGTCTATGTATGCATGCATGCATGTATGTATGTATACCTACGTATACATACATATATATGTATACACACACACAGAGACACACACACACACACATATATATATATGTATATATATATATCGTGTAGAGCGGAGCAGACGGAAGAAAGCGGGCGTCAGCGACTGTGACTGATGCAGTGATCCTTGTACGTACTCTGTCGCGACATGGTAGGCAAGCTGCAGTCCAATCAAGTCTTGATAGAGAAATTGAGTTCGCATGCGTTGTCATAAACCCCAAGCCTGCACCGAACGACACATGGCAAAAGCTCGTTCCTCAACGCAAGAGACAACCGCTAAACTTGCCGCTGCGCCGCTAAATGTGTTCGACCCTTTTGCAACCTTGTGAATGCTTATGCTTGTCAGCGAGGAACGGAAAAGAAGCTTACGGTGAACACGAAACGGTCTCAGACAAGACTGCTGTCCTCTGCGGCTGTGTTGCCGAATAATGGAGAACTGCTGTCTGTTTTACTGACCCCTTAAAGAGGAAGGGGCGGCCCCCCCCTCCCCCCAACTTATCGAGAAAGCAGCCTTCCGAACTGATCAGGAAGAAGGTGGGGGCAGAGGGGGAACCCTGATATATCAGGAGTAAGGGCGCCCTTAACACTCATTTGATCCAAAACCAAATCTGTACACAACAACCGCAGCAAGCCCAGCAAGCCCGAAGGAGCCAGCTTTCGTGACATATATATATATGTGCAATTATATATGTGTACCTACTATACTTGTCTAAAAAATATATAGATCTATAGGCAGACAGATAGGCAGATAGACAGATAAACATGTAAACAGATTGATGGATAGATTGATGGATGGGCCGACAGAAAGACACGCAGATAGATTGAATACATGCTTTACATAAGCTGGTACAAAAGCTAAACAAATGAACAAATAAGTAAATACATATACATGTACATACATATATATACATATATATATATTCATTTTTGTTTATGTTTATACTGATATATTTATATTTGCATGCAATTCTGGACTGTCGCGACCCCTGGAAGACTAAGAGAAAGTCTAGACGTTCCGTGTCATACGAACCTGGTTCACCAATCTGGACTCTGATCTGGAGCTCAGAATGCGGCGATATTTAGGATTTGGGCTATCCCTCTTGCTCTTCTGGTATGTCCGACTCGATGGATGGCACACAGGAGTCATCTTCCAACACCTGCTGTGAACACGGTCAATCCTGCTGTGACCATGGTCAATACTGAACCCCAACATATGGAGAGAAAGGAGCAGCATACAACATTGCTCGCCGTGGCGCCACTGGCGGAACTTGTTGCATGCTCTCTGTAGGTTGTCGAACTCAGACGTGCTGTTGCCTTGCAACAGGAGAAGGGGGGCTCCAGGGGCCCTTAGTCCATGCTGGCTGCTCAAAGTTCATGCTGCTTCAGGACACCGCTCATAGTGACCATGTGCTTGGCCCAAGTTCAAAGTTTCGGTCCCCCAGCCCTTGTTCTGCATGCCTTCAGCAAGGCTTCCACTCACTCCCTAGAAAGAGCAGCTGTCAGGAGATAAAAACACTAGCATTGTCGAACTGAACGTCCGCGCGGCCGGTGACATCGTAGCCGTCGGGGGCTACGATCTCCAGGACGTCGCCGATCTCCAGCGAGGTGGAGAGGAGGATCTGCCTGAGAGGACTTCAGAGATCGAGGCTGGGTCTGGTCCGGGGCTATGCCGAGAAGCATTCTAAGCTCCAGCTCGTCAATCGTGGAAGGCGTGGCAACAGGGTAGATGATCTGGAGAACGAGTCGCACATGCTCTGGCAGAGAAGCTCTTGGGTCACGGGCCTTTACTGCATCAGCACTAGCATGTGCATCATGACTCTTCCTTTGCACTGCCTGCTGCGTTGAAGCCTGAAGCCTTTGCAAGCCGCTTGCCCGCCCTCCCCCCTGACTCGGCTCGACACCCGAAGTGTGTGGAAGACTTCGGTGAGGTGAAAGCCAGGAGCCTCACCTAGGAAAAGAGCCATCTGTCGGGTTGGAGGTTCTGCTAAGGTTTCGTTGGCTGGGCCTCCATGCGCTCCGGTGCACTTCACTGCAAGCCGATTGCTACATTCTAAGGCAGGTGGCCAATGTCAAGGAGGTTGCTGTAGTCGGCCTGTCGCAGGATTGGGAAGGTGCCGAACTCAACGTTGAAGCTTTGCGGAAGCCGACGTGACATGCATGATCCAGTATGCCATTGCCCATACACTTTTCCCGCCACTTGCCTCCTTCGTGGCGTAGCTTTGAATCTGCCATGTCCCGGCCTTCCCAGAAACGCAGTGGACCAGGAACATGTGCATTCACTGCCCCGAAGGGCGGTCAGATAGGTCTGAAGGATGGCGAGTGCCTCCAAGGCGATGACAGTGGGATTCTGAACGACCACGTTCCTGAGCTCACTTCCTCCTCTCAATACCTCTGACTGCCACTCCTCTGCCTCCCTGGACTCGGATGAGGATCACGACAGTCGCAGCAATCCGCAAAATGCGATTATCGTACCAATGGTGCAACGATGCCGAAATCACATGAAGCCAGACTGAGGCTCAGTTGGTATTTCGCCAATGCCGCGAGTGTGGAGGACCCGACCTGGAACGGTGAAGACCAACCGGCTCCACGGGATCAAAATCACACGCACACATAAATAAATAGATGTCTCAAAATGAATAAATAAATAAATATATAT